AGTTAAATAAAAAATAAAAGTATTTCGTATGTTTTAATACACGAAAAAGTAACAAATTAATGAAATTAATAAATAATCACTGTTATCAATCAAAGAAACCATAGATTTTTTTTGGTACAGTTTTTCCTTGTTAGGAAAGGCAAGGGGATCTAAGCCCATACAGCCTTGTCTGCTCTATATATTCTCTGAAATAAAGAAGCCATAGATTTTTTTTAAGAGATTTTATGACCTGGTAACTAAGACTTTTAAGTCATGTCTTATTTTAATTTATGTTCTTATTTTTATGAAAAATGATAATATGGAGTGAAATGAAATGAAACGAAGACAATCAATTATTATTTGTGACATTAATCAACTGGGATGAAATTAAATGAAATGAGATGATATGGAATGAAATATAATCTTAGTAAAATGGTGGTCATTTACTAAGATTTGTTCAGTGGACTTTTTGGAGGATCCCGAGAAGTTGCGTCCAGCGGCTTTGTTTCCCACCTTTGTGCACTTTCACAGATATTAAATAGTTAATAAACCATAGATAATACCGTCGGCTTATTGCAAGAAGTCATTAAGTGACATATTCATTATTTTGGGAAAACGGCATTTTAGTTGGAATTAGTTAGTGGTTATGTTGATTAGCCCATATTATCCTTCATACATAAGTACAGTGAGCAAAATTGAATGTTTTGGATTGCTTAATATGTATATTAATTAAAACAAGTGAGAGTCGATAGTCATATAACATTATATATTATTTATAAACTAAAACTAAAAGTTAATGACTTCTTGCTACTGTAAGTCGGTTTTATATGTGAATTAATTATTTCTTAAATTAAATTAAAACAACAAAATACTTATCAAACCTTATTGAAATAAACAAAAACGAATAATAACATAATAATCAAAAACATTTTTTTCATAACAGTTGACGTAAGAACTTGCAATAGCTAATATTGCCAAGTACTCACGACAACTTCGCAGTCTCAAAAGTTGTACATAATTTTATTTTTATTTTATTGCTCAGATGGGTGTACGAGTTCACAGCTCACCTGGTATTAAGTGGTTACTGGAGCCCATTGACATCTACAATGTAAATGCGCCACCCACCTTGAGATATAAGTTCTAAGGTATCAGTATGGTCACAACGCTGCCCCACCTATACAGAGGAGGGCCATTTGGATTGTTGATAATCCCATTCTCAGGTATCGTTTGGAACCTCTGGGTCTGCGGAGGACTTCAGTTCCCTCTGTATTTTGTACCGTATGTTCCATGGGGAGTGCTCTGAGGAATTGTTCGAGATGATACCGGCATCTCGTTTTTACCATCGCACCGCCCGCCACCGGAGTAGAGTTCATCCATACTACCTGGAGCCGCTGCGGTCATCCGCAGTGCGTTTCCAGAGATTTTTTTTGCCACGTACCATCCGGCTATGGAATGAGCTCCCCTCCACGGTGTTTCCCGAGCGCTATGACATGTCCTTCTTCAAACGAGGCTTGTGGAGAGTATTAAACGGTAGGCAGCGGCTTGGCTCTGCCTCTGGCATTGCTGAAGTCCATGGGCGACGGTAAACACTCACCATCAGGTGGACCGTATGCACGTCTGCCTACAAGGGCAATAAAAAAAAAACGCTTGAAGCCGAAACGCATTTCTGCTTCACGGCAGAAATAGGCGGGGTTGTGGTACCCACCCGTACGGACTTACAAGAGGTCCTACCACCAGTAATTACGCAAATTATAACTATGCGAGTTTATTACACGATGTTATTCCTTCACCGTGGAAGTAGATCGTGAACATATTTTGTTAAGTACGTATTTCATCAGAAAAATTGGTACCCGCCTGCGGGATTCGAACCCCGGTGTATCGCTAGATACGAATGCACCGGACGTCTTATCTTTTAGGCCACGACGACTTAAATAATAAACTAAAAATAATTTTCTTCTCCCTGTTAGTCAATCACTCATGTATTCATTCAATCATGTATTTTTTAATGAAAATTAGGAACTGAGCTTAAACACCATACAAAAACATAAAACAAATAAAAAAAGATCTAGGTTAAAAAAATCTGTATCAGAGGTTTCTTCTTCAGGAAGATAATTCTTTATCAGGTATATTATTATACCAATGGTGTAGCTCTGCAGGCTAGGTCTTTAAAATTGGAAACGTAGTCATACCTATATTGAACAATTTTAAGTCGGTTTTTCCAAGCTTGAAGCATTTAACCTTCAAACACTGTAGTCCTACAGTGTCAATTGACTTATTAAACATTAATTTGTTTCTCAACTCTTTTAGGTTCAAGATATCAGAGTGGCTCATTACTATAGGTTCATACGGCGTCTTTGCTGTTTTTTTCTTTTTTAGCTTTCTGTTCGATCTAGCCAATCTTAAAACATTACAGAGGTCTATCATAGAAAAAATTGGCATAAGACACATTTGATTCTCGATAGAACTATGCATATTATCGACCTCCATATTATGTGTGTGGCCCAATTCTAAATACTTTTGTTCAACCACCTCAAGCTGGGTAACTTGAACTAGGTAGCATAACAGAAATTGATTACGTTCTTGCATCATCTCGCTGAGTTTCTCGCCGGGTATTCTCAGTGGGTTGCGATTCCGATCCGGTAGTAGATTCATTCACGAAGCAGCTGTTCTTGAGTTGTTAGGTCTTCATCGGAGGCGCACGGACAGCTGTTAGCAAATCCCACCCCTCTTGGCTGAGCCTTTGCTAGCCCACATGTCCTGGTGAATCTGGAAAGGCCTCCGGGCCACCAGTAATCCTTCAATTCTAAAAAAATATAAAAAAGCCAGTCTGGTGTTACAGTGATTACTGCAGCTCATAGAGATCCAATGTGAAAGCCACCACCCATCTTGAGACCCGAAATCTAAATCTAAATTGTTCCGTATGCTGCTTCGCCATACGCCATACCAACCATCCTATCAGTAAATACAAGTTGGCAATCGTAGTCCACTGGTATGATTCTCAGATAACGATGTTGCCCGTTCTCCAGTGTATCATTTAACATCTTCTACACCCGTGGAAAGAATGATGCTATTGTAGGTCAGGTGTTTGCTTGGTAGGTTGTGCGAAGGTTGTTCAGAACTTCAATTGCTCCAACATCTTGCTTCCTCGTCCTTGTTTGAAACATTTATTTCGTTGCATTTTGTCAGAAATCATTAACTTCTTTATCAGGCGTGGTAATCAATGTATCTCGCCGCAAACTGAGCGAGCGAGGCAGTACTCTTTCGTCCCGCGCAAACCCACCCTCACCCGCGTTCGTCGGTTTCGTCTTATGCCCCGTGTTCCCTAGACAAGCTGTTTTGTTGCATTTCACCAAACCCTATATAACTCACTAAACTACAACCGAGGAACCACGTAGCCTGCAAGAAGTTACTATGTTCTTTTAATCGATGTTAACTTAAAATCATGCCATCAACAAAATGGAAAAAATAATGAAAAAGAATAAATGATTTTATGGAAATCTTAATATTGTGATTTATATTATATTAATATCGATAAAAATCATTAAGATTACTTATTGTGCATTTCTGATGAAATGATACATAACAGAAACTAACTAAATGTAAATAATGAATTTTATCGAAATGCAATTTTAAGCTATATTATACTACACTGTTTTGATAAAATTAATTAGATGCTGAAAATGAGTTCTGTAATGTAATGTATGCTGTTTTCAAATAATTATCCATTTAATAAAAATAACTAGTGCTGCTTAGTGAATCTTTGTAAATGCCTGACTTCCAAAGTTGCAATTATCAATTTTCTACCAAAGACGTAACGGCTAAAATTGGCCAGCTAGAAATTAGTGTGTTTTTGCATTTTGTAGAATATGCAAAAATGAGCCCATTATAGATAAAAACGCATTTAGTGATTTTTTGCAGTTAATGAGTTCTTGCAATAAGCCGACGATACATAGTATATGTAGAGTATAAACATGACTAGACAGAATGACCTACAGACTAACTGCTGATATAAACACGAAGATACAAATTTAAATTCTCAAACCATGCTTGTTAAATACAATTTCCAAAATATTTGTTAATCATAGAGCATTTGTATAAATTTTAACTTAAACCAATATCTGAATGTCAATTAAAAAAAACAATTGTGGAAAAATTGTAGAATTTCAATGTTAGCAGCCGAATCACTTTTTTCTTTGCAAATGTAAGGACATCACCTCTCTAACCCACTTCTTTGACTCAAAGAAGTCCTCCCCCCGGCTTCCATGGCCGAGTCTGGAGTTAGGCTTTGGGTACAGATTTTCGAGATCCGCACGAGTAGGGATAATTTCCGACCCAACGGAATACTGAGAGACTTGCCTTGCTGAGAACGAAGAGGTGTCGCGTAGTATCGCTCCATCGTGTTGCTGAACGAGGGTGGAAGGTAGTTGAACCGAGTCGTCACCGCCCGCATCGTCTAGTATCTGACCCGGACTGGGCCTGATCGGTCTGCTGAACAGCACGGCTTCAGAGAGGGCCATTCTATCTTCGATGCGAACATACGAGTACCGCTTATGTACCTTCTTAGGCGAAACGAATCGCCTGGCGCGGAGTGGCTCTTACTGTATCCTTGGACATTGCCAACGTATTCAACACACTGCCCTGGTCGATAGTTGTGGGGGAATTCCAGTATTACGGCTTACACGCGTATTTCCGCTGACTAAATGAGTCCTCTCTAGATAGCAGGTCGGTAATTTCCACTGGTGACGGTGGTGTTACTGGCCGCTTTCCGGCCGAGCGTGGTGTTCCACAGGGGTCGATCTTTAGCCCTCTGTTGTGGGACATTGCCTACAACTGGATCCTGCAGAGTGCCCTTTACGGACCTACGTGAAGCGTTATGCAGAAACGGTGGTCTTGGCGATAGAGTATAGGTATCAAAAAACTTTTATTACCAATAGCTTTTAGCGACATCTACACAATGCTTAATCAGTCATTACCAATTGTCATTATGACGTATCATACGGTACCTATACCTACATACTACATAATCTCGTCGAGTAATTTTGGTTTTAGTTCTGTGGAGTGAATTGAATTTCCATTTGTGCGTAAATTTTAATAGGATGACTAGTAAAATAAGGTTTCAATCCGCTATTAATGAATCGAGAGTACTGTAAATTTAACATAAGAAAGAGTTCTCTATTTTTCTATTTTGTGCTTTTTTTAAAACGGATGACTTAAATCTGCGCAGTGACTTGTACTTTTTATAAAAAAAACAGTGGGAAAATAATTCACAAAATGATACAGGACGATGAATATGAACTTCTGGTANGATGACTAGTAAAATAAGGTTTCAATCCGCTATTAATGAATCGAGAGTACTGTAAATTTAACATAAGAAAGAGTTCTCTATTTTTCTATTTTGTGCTTTTTTTAAAACGGATGACTTAAATCTGCGCAGTGACTTGTACTTTTTATAAAAAAAACAGTGGGAAAATAATTCACAAAATGATACAGGACGATGAATATGAACTTCTGGTAACTACCCCAGAGCGAATTAAAGCTCTGGGGTTCAAACCTCAGAAGGAATTTTTGACGAATCACTTATTGCCATATGCCAGTGAGCTTGACGAAGAATCGACCAGATTTTTAGGACAAGTGAAGATAAACTTGGCGAAGTCTGTTATGTTACGAGAGATGAAGCCAGCATGTGGAGTCTGGCTTTCTAGATTAATGAAGTATGTATGTTTTTTATATTACTGTTAGTGTATGTTAGCCTGCACTGGTAGTTGCCACCGCTATGCCCATTCTTACCGCGAAGCAGCTACAGTTCCAAATTGCAGAGAGACCTAAACCTTAAGTCTCAAGTGGGCTGGCGATAATCATATTGTGATGTTTAAAGGCTCTGGTAACCACTTAAAATCAGGTTGGCCGTGAGCTTGTTCACCCTTATATGCAAAAATTCTTGATGGTTAGACTCGTGACCATCAAGAATAACTCGTCTTGTCTGTAGACGAAATCATATTCAATATGTTACAAAAAATGGGTTTTGTTCAAAGATAAAATTATTGCATTAGTTGTTTCGGTGTTTGCGCAAGACTTTAATATATTGTGTGATATTGTACTTTAATATATGTATTGTATTTTATTTTTATATATGTGTATTGGTGACAATTTTTTATTCTATTTATTTAAATCCATATAAGAGTATAAAAAAAACATAGAACCTCTTTGACTGCTGAGCTAAGACTCGTGGCCTTGACACTCACATCTGGAAAAAAAAGATGTGACAAATAAGTTTTTTGTACTGTTTCTGGGTGTATTACTTCTGGTGGTAGGACCTCTTGTAAGTCTGTGCGGGTGGGTACCACCGCCCTGCCTATTTCTGCTATGAAGCAGTAATGCGTTTCGGTTTGAAGGGTGGGGCAGCCGTTGTAACTATACTGAGACCTTAGAACTTATATCTCAAGGTGGATGGCGCATTTACGTTGTGGATGTCTATGGGCTCCAGTAACCACTTAACACGATGGTGGGCTGTGAGATCGTCCACCCATCTAAGCAATAAAAAAAAAATAATAATATATAAACAAACATTCTCTCCTCATCACGTAGTTTCCTCACTGCTGAGAGTCGTGACCATCATGCTTAGACAGGATTTAAATTTTGTAATAACTTTCCAGCGATTCCGATCATTATGTTAACTAATTAAAAAACAATTTAACTATGTCAATTAAGATAGCCTTTATAGAATATGTCTATTGTAATAAAAGAGACCTTACAATTAACACTACTGGTAGTAAATTTTTTAAAACAATATATAATAATATATTTTTCATATGTAGCAAAATTTTCAACTGATATACCTGTCTACGTAAATTCATTACTGTATTGAGGTCAATTGTTAGAATATAAAGTTTGTATTAAGGAAGCTCTGGGTAACAGCCAACACGTTGACACTTGAAAGAGTTGCCAAAGGTTAAGTCATACCAATAAACTATTGTGTGGTTACAAGCAAATTAACAAATTTTTTGTTCTAAATTAGTTTATATCATTGCACAAATAGATAACAACATTATAGCTTACTTTGTGTTAGAGGGTTCGTACCAGTTTGATAACTTGGTGCTGTTTACTTCATGGAAAACATAACATAATGAATGCTGCCAATCTTCTAGAGACATAGGATGAAAAAATTCATAATATTGTAAAATTGCTACCGAACTCTTCAAACCGGTACAAATGACTGCTCTGCAGAAGAAATAGGCAGGATGACAGTGCCTATATTTGAGTTGATGGTCCAATTGATAAGGAGCCTGGTGCTTTTTATGATATTCATAAGAAGGCATAAATTTTTCTAATAAAATACATACTTAATACATGTTCTAGAGCCACGTTCTTAATATATTTTTTTTAATGATGAAGATATAGTGTTGTGTAACCAAACTATACTTGCAAAAATTATAAATTGCCTGTGGGCCCTTATGGGTATGCTCTTCCGCTCTGTTCATATCTGTTTTCATGGAGCAGCTATTGTTCCAGATTGAAGGGTGGAACGGGACTATGCTTATACAAAACAATATAATTGAAACTTCAATCTTAAGTCTCAAGGTGGGTGGCGACTATCACTATTGTGATATCAATAGGCTTTGATATGCTATAAAGAACTAGTCCTAATAATAAAAACTGTAGTCCAATATATATACATATATATTTTTATGATTGAAGGCTTACTGGTGGCCCGGAGGCCTTTCCAGTTTGACTAGGAGGACAGTTAGGCGAGCAAAGGCTCAGTCAGGAGTCCAACGTTTGTAAACTTCATAATAGCCTAAGTTTGCTAGTCAGAGCTCTCAGCCAGTTGTGTGTTTGAAAAAGCGCAAATTTTTAATAATTATTGTGCATTTTTGTGTGTCATTGTAGTTTGTGGTTGTTGTAATTTCCACAAACTCAACAAAAAAATTCATTACGAAATAATAATGTACAAGGTGGGCCAAAAGAAATTATCCTATTGGAAGATGCTCTTATTTTTGCAGATGGCCGCCAATGTCAAATCTGTTTTGATATTTGTGGACTAGACAGGTGCAGAATACAAGTGTATGAGCCATGAGCTGTACACTCCCCAAGAACGCAGAATAATCGTGTCTATTTCTTTGCGTAACAATTCGTGACTCGCAATTAGCCATCAGCCGGGCGTCCCTAAGGCGAATTTTCCTGTACAAAGTCCAGTCCGTGCATTAGCTGCTGGTTGTCGACCGCCAAATGTGTGTAACCTACGCCCAAGCCATCCTCAATCTCGAGGACGAAGTGGACGATTTTTCGCCCAAAATCATATTGAGCGATGAGTGAGTGCGTGCTATAGGGCCAATTAGGACCGAGGACATGTGATTCCAACAGGACGGAGTATGGCACACACTGCGCGAGCCACAACCGATATTCTGAAGGCGGCGTTCTCGGGTCGCCTCATCTCTCATTTTTGCGATTTGCACTGGCCCGCAAGATCGCCAGATTTAATCGTTCTGGACTCTTTTTGTGGGGTTTTTTGAAATCCCGCTTTTACGTGAACAAGCTCGAAACCCTCAAGAACAACATTCGACCCGAGTGCGAGAATCTGTCGCCCGAAGTTCTTGCCGAAGTGATGAAAAATTTCATAAAACGAGCCCGTAAGGCAATCAATTGTGACGGCGCCTCGACTTGACCAATCAAATTCTAAAGGTTCAAATAAAGATAATCAAAAAACAGAATCGAAGTTTTTCATTTAGAAAAAAAAGAGTCAAACAACATCGGATGACCTCTTTTGGCCCACCTTGTGCATACCACTTTTATTTATAGTTAATCTGTATATTGTGTAGTTAAATAATTAAGTTAATTAGTTTATAATTAAGAATAAATTACTGTCTTTTTTTTATAGGTACATAAGAATTTATGGACTAAAGTTCAGTAAAGCTGACCACATAGACCTCATCAAATTGGCATATGAGCTTATTATCATTCCAGATCTTGAACCTAGCAAAGTTCATAAGTTTAGTACAATGTTCATTATGCTCACAAAGTAAGTAAATAAAACATAGTGTATAAATACGAAATAGGAAAAGAGTATCTTTATTTAAAAATAAAATAATCAATAAAAATCAAATTATTATCAATATTTTATTAAAGGCATACAAGCTATATTTAGTGATAAGTGGTTGCCTACGCCTATAGATACCGGCAATGGCAGGGCGACATGATTTCTTAGGTTCCTTTTCTGTTTATTAGCAAATCGTTTATCCAATGGAGCTTAAGCTAAATAATTTTTAGGATTACAGATATTCTGCCTAAGTATGCACCATGAATTTTTGACAAGGCATGTAAGAAATTTAAACAACTTTGTATTTAGTGCTTGGCCAGATTAATCAATATAATACAAATATAACACTAGAAAGATATATGAAAAATCATTCAGAATGATAAAAAAGGACTAATAAGTGTTCAATGCCGCCTATGGACGTCGCGAATCGTAAATGTATCACAAATTGCCTAAATAAAGAAATTGGGAGTAGTTATTCTAAAACTCCTTTGTTTAGTCAGAAACAAAAAATAATTGTCACCTTTTTTTACCCATACTCAGAAAGAGACAACTGATTTCACCAGAAGAACTGAAACTTCCCTGGAGACCTCTATATGACTTAGGACAAAGAATATTTGATAAGAATGCGCTTCATGTTGGAATGTTTCATTATATTAGGTAAGAATTTAGCAAATATGTGACCACTTTAAATTAAAAACTCCAGAAACACATGACAATATAAAACATAAATGTTTTATTAACATTTTACGAAAGGATACATAATATTAAACATTCTAGTGTTATGCTACAGAATTATGTTTGGCTTCTGATATTTATTAATTTATATTAATACGTGAAGCAAAAACTTTGTATCCCTTTTTACGAAAATTGCGCGGACGGAGCAGTATGAAATTTTCCACACTTATAGAGAATATAGAGAAGAAGTGCACAATGCTAATATTTTTTTAAAATAATGCATTAAAGATACATTAAATCAATAAAGACAACATTACACACACTACATACCATGTATTTGACGCACACAGGCATGCATACTATTTATTGTCAAACTTTTGTTCTTGACGTCTGTGGTCAAATTGAGAATAGATTAATTAATGTTTGTCTTTTATTTTTTATAGTGTAGTCTTGGTGAAATTTACAATTCCAATTAATTATAGTCGAATTTCGACTACTGCGGGACCTCTAGTTAATTTAAAACCTCAAATTACTTCAAAATAAACCTGAAATTCCTATATCATGCATTTGAATTATTTGCGAGAACTTTAACTGATTATTAATCAATCAATCTCAATATATGCGAATAGATCAATAATATGTCACAGCATTAATTATTATTTAAGAAATATATGTGAGAGAGTGTTTATTAATCGAATTACCGGACTTTATCAAATTATTATAATTATTATTTTTGTCTCTGGCTTCTACCTCATATTATTATTGTGTATTAACATACAACTTAACTGTATATTATATTCAGGCCTGACCGTAGTGGCAAACAAGGATTCGATGTTTTCGATTTGATTCGCAAACTCCTGTCGGGACATGGGGTTGAAGATGCACTACATTTGTTTGGTCTCTCAATCTCGGACAAAAGTGAACTGCCTACGTAAATACCGTATTTATGTCTTTTTGTAAGAACTAGCAGGACCAAACTTTCATAAAAATATATGTCTATATAACTGTCTATAAAAATAAAACATATAAATATATGTCTATAAAAATAAAACATAATATCGTCTTTTCGCATTGAAAGTGTACAATTTCGAAAAATATTCGAAATAAAGTTAATATGCGGAATCATTTGGTATCACCAGTATTTTTCTCGTAAATACTATCCAAAGAGCATAGTTTAGTTTTTTTTTTTTTTTTGTTTAACTTTTTTTTGACTACTGTTAACAAAATTAATACATAATTTTATCTTACTTTAAAAGACAGATAATGTAACTAATAAAAAATAAATCTTGCAAAGATGATTATTATTAAAAATATCACATGTTAAACCTTTAAAACGCTCCCCTGTAAAATTAGTAAGTTTTAAAATTATACAGTTTTAATGCGAGAAGACGATATGTCTAATACTATTAAAATCCAAATTTGCTGAAAAGGAATGTGTTAGTTCTTATGGGAAGAATTAAATGGTCTCTGGAAGCTTTATCAAACCATTTGGTGGCAGATGGTGTGGGTTCATTTTTCATGGGTCCCATGTGTTCATATCAATAGACCAGGTTGCAGGGGTTTCTTACTTGTTTTACAATTGTTTTCATTTTGGATAATTTAAATTTAATTTGTATTTCCACTTTCAGTTCTCTGGAAAGTTCATACGTTGCATTGGTGAAGTGCGCAAGACCGTAAGTGTCCGAAATAAAATCTATTAATAAAAAATATAAAATCTAGAATATAAAAAAAACCCGCTCATTTAAATTGGAATTTAAGAGTAAGCTACCTGTTTTTTTATGTTCTAACATAAATTAATGTTTAGTAAACTTCGTTCTCGTCGAACCCGTCGCTTGCGACGAAGGCCTCGGCGAGTAAATTAGCCCACTGAGTTTCTCGCCGGATCTTCTCAGTGGGCCGCGTTTCCAATCCGGTGGTAGATTCTGCGAAGCACTACTCTTGCTAGGGCCAGTGTTAGCAACGTCGTCAGGTTTGATCCCTGCAAGCTCACCTACTAATTCGGTGAATCTAGAATAACCCCTCGAGGTTACTGGAAAAGGTAGGAAAAAGTTTAGTAATATTTTTTTTTTTATTTAGTTTGAAATATCTAAAAGCAGTTTATCTATCTCCGAGAAGGATTAATTTTATAAAAATGGGTTGATATCATGTCCTTTTCAGATATTTCGAATTGAGCGCAACAAAGGAGATATTAGACTTGTTACTACCTCGAATCAACCCCTGGACAGCGGACTCGTATGTATTGAGTCAACTGGTAGTATTTCTTCCTGTTGCATTACATCCCCGGAACTCGGCGTTAGGTCACGAACTTTGGTTTGAGAAGCTGATGGTTTTATGGGACACTTGCTACAATGCTCAGTGTGGAGTTTGGGTTAGTATAATCTTATCTTACTAAATAATTTATAACATTTTGATATTATTATTTTTCTAAAGATTATTGTTTTGCTTTTCAGGATCTGATGATAATATTTACTGGTCTGGCAAAGAGAAATCCCGGTGTGATAAACTGGTCACAGTATGCTCCTAGAATATTCTCGAGATTCCTTCATGCATTAAATCTTCCCGTCAGTTATAAAGATATGCAAATTAACAATCACTACACTCTTGGTAANATAACATTTTGATATTATTATTTTTCTAAAGATTATTGTTTTGCTTTTCAGGATCTGATGATAATATTTACTGGTCTGGCAAAGAGAAATCCCGGTGTGATAAACTGGTCACAGTATGCTCCTAGAATATTCTCGAGATTCCTTCATGCATTAAATCTTCCCGTCAGTTATAAAGATATGCAAATTAACAATCACTACACTCTTGGTGAGTTTTATTTAATTGTATTCTTCTTCGTTGTCGGTAACACTCTTGACAGAGTAGTCATTATTACAGTGTGCTTAGTGCGAGTTTTTTTTTACGTTCACGATAGTGTAAAAGTTAACTCAACAGTTGGAACAGCGCCCCTAGCGGCACACATAGGTAAACATTCCAACTCCATACAGATGTGAGTTAACTTTTACACTATCGAGAACTTTAAAAAACTGGCACACAGGTATCAGTGGCAAACATCACAAACACCCAATGAGCTATTTACTGCCGCTTTTATCTGGTCAGTCCACATCATAGCCGATATTCTTTGTGGCCTCGTACCTTACCCTAGACCACAAGTTGCTCAATAGCCACCTCCTGATTGTATTAAACAGTGATAATTGTTTTAATGAAATAAGATAATAATTAGGTTTGTTACTACACATTATTAAACGAGGGTCGATACACGAACACCTATATATATATATGAGACAAAGTAAAAGCAACTGACAATTTTTTTTAACAGATACAAAACACATGGCCTCGTGGATTGTATGGAGTATCTGCCCCGATGGAGTGGTTCTTAAACACCTGCGTTGTTTTATGGGAGGCGTAGAAAGTTACTTGCACAGTGCGAACTCTGGTCGATGGTCATATAAACTTAGGGACTTTCTAAAAAAGCTTACCAAAGAATTCCTAAACAGGTATTTTTACAGCTTATATTTAATTCAATAAAAAATTAAATTTGCAGAAGAATATGTACATACATAAGATGATAGTATAATAATTAAGTAAAGGCACATTTATTTTAAAATACTGAAAGTCCTCGGGGGTCATACATAAATGGTCCCTTTTTAAGATTAAATACTGTATGTTATGTCATGTTGGTTAAATTTAATATCACTTAAATTTGTTAGGTATCGTCGAGAAACTGAGCACAAATTTAAAGAGAGCTGGGAGAATCAAGTACCTGAACATTACAAACTGAGAGAAGAAGATATAACTGAGTTCATAAACATAGTTTTAGAACCTACATTGCAAGCTTTGTATAATCGAGTCGACAGTCTTGAAGTATCATTTGCCTTACAAAATTTAGCTACACTGCGACCTGCTATCGTTATTCCACCGTTGCTGGAAAAATTTAAGACTTCCTTGAATTCCCTGACCGAGCCCCACAGAGTCACGGCCGCCATGTCCGGCCTGGCCGCGGTCGCCAGGCCGATGGTGCGAGGTCCCGACGCCGGATATTCGGAAGGTCCCACTCATATCGTCCACATCCTGATGGCCGTGCTCCCAGGTCTCGATCCGAACGATATCAAGAAAACATTGGTTTCCCTTCATTTTATTTTGTTCTTCAGTTGGATGGTGCCGTTGATAGATTGTAGTTCGGCTCACGAATACTGGCCGGATCTGACAGAGGAGGAATTGCTGACGTGCGAGTCGACCGCGCAGATTGAAGACTTCGTTTTAGTTTTCTTTGAGAAGATTTTCTCGATCGTAGAATCCAGTGTACTAGAACACGTGCGCTTGGACACCAAAGAGTCGGACGGGATGCGAAGTAAGGCTGATGCTGTCATGGAGGCGGCGTTGTCATCTGCTACAACTGCTGTGCTAATGCAGTGCTCTCCTAAAATATTCAAGGAAGCTCTGAGGAAGTTCAAATCGTTCGCCACGCAGACCACGTTTGAGACGAACGTGTCCGGTAGCATGGTCGGGGTGTTGCTCCGTGTGTTTGCTCGAGTCGACCCCGAATCGACATTAGCCGCATTTCTGCCTCTTCTTTGTGATGAACTCGACGAGTTATTAGCGAGCGACGATGCTCTCAAGGAAGAGAATCCCCCACGAGACCTGATGTACAGACTAGTTCTATTGATGCATTTAGTAGAATGCGATGGGACGGTTCTATTAAAGTATGTCCCCAGAATTATTCCTGTACTGGATCGGGCACTTAAAATTCAAACGTATTACGCATTGAATCGGGCCTCCGAAATCCTAGCTCACATGCTGATTTCGTTCAACTGCATTGAGCTGAAAGAATGGAAGAGTTCGACTAAGGATTACAGTGCAGCGCCTCAAACGTGGCTGCCCGTCAGGGAGTGGGGCCACGGCTGCAAGCTCAAGGACCTTAGTTTCAAATGGCACGTCCCCTGCAAGGAGGAGGCCGAATGCGCCCAAATGCTTTTGGACAGATACATGAAGCCCGAGATATCGAAGTTAAAGCAGTGGGTAAACGGTGACTGCGAAATGAGTCGCGAAGAGAGATGCAGGTGTTTCTATGTACTGGTGGCTGTGTTATCATGCGGGAATTTCTTACCGCAACCCAACGAAGAGCCAGTGTTGTTGTAAGCATCAGTTACATGAGTTTTATTATTTGATTAATTTATTAGGGCACTAGACGAATTCGCAGCCCGCGTAGTATGAATAAGACCATAAGAGGGCTACGCTACATTTATCTTTGTATTTAAAGGTCCGTTTAATTTGATATTAGCCGTTAGAATTTGATGTTTTATCGAACTTCAATTAGGCTTAGACAATTCAAATAGCTGAAGAAGTTCTGTTTTTTTCATGATATTTTCCTAATTTGTAAACTTTAAATGGCTCTCCTGTAAAGTCTTTTGCCCCTCGATTTAATATTATATGAACAGTTCAATTCGACGCTTCAAAGGCAAACGTGACTAAGCGACTATAACTGCTTTGTACATAAATAATAGGCAATAACCATATTCGATGCGCAAAAATAATATATTTCTAGGTCTATTAAAATTATTTCAATCCTACAGCTAGATTCGTTAAAATAGAATTTTTTTCAGGTATTTCAACTTTAAATTCGTCTACTTTAAAGTTCACGCATTGTCGCTTAGTCACGTTTGCCTTTCAAGCGTCGAATTGTATGTAAACTGATAGTTGATTGAATAACGATTTTAGATTGGAAACTCAAGTGCCGTCGACGAGTATACCGTACACGAACGGAGTTAAGTTTTCTATAACACTGGACGGCGAGAACGTTCGCGTCGCCGTCACGCGGCTGCTAGTCCGAGTGCAGGAGCGGATGTTGGCCGACAAGTCGGATGACACGCGCGGCCTCGAGCTACTCACGAAGGTACCTCCAATACTACCAGCAGAGGCCTAGCCATCCAACCACCAGTCACCCGAATCTATCGTCCATGTATCCTCACATTATTACTCAAAAAATTAAAATTCAAAATTATTTATTTCAACTTAGATGTCAGTATAACACACTTGTTGAATGTCAAAATATAAATAACAATGTTAACTCTACCACCGGTTCCAAAAAAAAGCCACAGTTCTGAGAAGAACCGGCGAAACAAACTAAGTGGGCTTTTTTTTGTTTTTTCTCAATTTTTTTTTGTTTGTTAAATAAGTAAAAAAATCTGTCACAGAAATTGACACATGAAATAGAATTCTCAATTGTACTGTATAAGAGATCTTTCATCGTTCAGCGTTTTTCACTGCAGAAATAGGTAGGACAGTGGTACCTACCCACGCTAACAATACGCCCTACCAGCGATAAAGGACCTTTGAATGACTTTTATGAAAGTCCTCGATTTGTTTTTATTAAGTTTACCTTAATGAGCAGTCCCACAGTGAATATTTTTAATTTAAACAAATAACTCTGAAGCTTAAATTCCCCCCTGACATTCACTGCAGAAATAGGCTGGATAATGGTACCTACCTATGCTCACAATACGCCCCACCAGCGTTAAAGGACCTTTGAATGGTTTTTTTATTTATTGCTCAGAGGGGTGGACGAGCCGACAGCCCACCTGGTGTGAAGTGATTACTGGAGCCCATAGACATCTACGACGTAAATGCGCCACCCACCTTGAGATATAAATTCTAAAGTCTCAAAGTATAGTTACAACGGCTGCCCCGCCCTTCAAACCAAAACGCATTACTGCTTCACGGCAAAAATAGGCAGGGTGGTGGTACCTACCCGCGCTTACTCACAAGAGGTCCTACCACCAGAAAAAAATCAATCAAAATGCCTTTATCAAGTTTACCTTAACGAGTAGTCCCACAGTGTATATTTTTAATTTAAAAATAAACAAATAACGCAAAAGCTTAAATTTGTAATTGACAGTTATTTTATTTTTAAAGGTATGGGAACGTGTGGTAGTGATGAAGGGTTCCAGAGTCGGTCCCAGTCTAGAAGAGCGTCTGATATCGTACGGCGCGCTGGACCGCGTGCTGGACGGACGCGCAGGGCCCACCAATCGGTTCGGAGGCGCCGGGACCTCCAGACTGCGGATGTTGACGGCCGAAGCGGCCAGGATACACGACGAGTCGAGAGTGAACCTGGTGTGCGAGGCGGGGATCACGCCCATAGCCCTGAAGGCGCTGCACGCACTGGCCGAGTTGTCCGTCAACACGTACACTTCTGTGAGTAGCTATGATCTCGTGAATGCGCTTTGTCATTTGCTGTAAATTAACCCATAGACACAGCCCACCGAGTTTCTTGCCGGATCTTCTCAGTGGGTCGCGTTTCCGATCCGGTGGTAGATTCTGCAAAGCGCTGCTCTTGCTAGGGCCAGTGATAGCAACGTCGTCACGTTTGAGCCCCGTGAGCTCACCTACTTGTTAGGTTACGCTGACATAGCCTCTCAAGGCTATCAGCTTAGGTAGGAAAAAAAGTGAATGCGCATTATTTTGTATTTTCCAGGCTTCCGAGGATGTATAAAGCGAAATGTTACGTTATGTTGTTTACGGTAGGCAGCGGTTTGGTTCTGCTCCTGGCTTAAGTCCATGGGCGACGGTAACCACTCAACATCAGGTGGGCCGTATGCTCGTCTGCCTGCACAAGGGCAATAAAAAAAATCTCGGCTTGATTTTTACGAATTTTTATTGGTTGACTTCAGGCACAATACGATTTTCATGAACGATTTTAAATCGGAATTCGTAAACAAAATACCGAAATGAAAACAGTTTTAAAAAATTTAAATTTCTTGCCAAGAATTCTCGATAACATTTATCACCCGTAACAAATACCCGAGATCTCCCAGAATTCAGCTCAGCAATTTTGTATAATGTTTGGCTCGCCGTATATATGCGAAGTTAAACTTTAAATCTTTATCACCAGACATTACCGTGTCAAACATACCCTTACAGTCTTATATAGTTTTAAATATATGTTGTATGGATGCTTGGATTAGAGAAACGTTTATTGTCAGTATTCAAAGTCATAAAAGGGTTCACAGAATGTCGTTCCGTACTGACTAATATCCAATACGCTATTCCACTGATGTCATACACTATCGTTGTATAGTTTGTCTCACTATTACTTAATACCCCCCTAATCTCCGGATTTGAAATCCAGTCGGATCTTCCTGAATGTTTCTCGATGCGATTTCCAGTAAGTTCTGGATCGTTCTACGTCAAGATCCGCACAATAGTTATTACCTATCAATGAGTTCCAAACATTATCTATTGACAGGTTCGAATGCTCTCCCAAATCAGACTGTACTGGATGCTCAATCATTATCCTTACTCCTACCGCACTCTGGTGCCAAAGTTGGCTGAATTGTTGATCAAAGGCGGCGAAGGCGACGAATGGCACGCCCGTCACAAAGGGACGTTATACATGATGCTCGGTCCGAGGAATGCACCGTTGATTGCTAAACAGGACTGGGAAGTGGCCAGAACGTTGTGGCCTGCCATACTGAAGGCCCCCCTCAGCGAGAAACCAAGTATACTAAAGTGAGTTTTTAATAGAGGTCGTTCAAGTTTTTTTCTCAACATTAGTCTTTTAACACGTTGACTGCCATGTAGGTCACCGGTGCCCTACGCGGCGCCCTGAAGTAATTATGTCGATTTCTGTCTTCGATCTTCTTACTAAGACGCCGGAATATCTAGTAGACTCTGGGAAAGACGAATCCAACGAATAGAATGAACCTATTTCTATCCAGGCTCTTAGTAACAGAAAACGACATAATTACTTCAGGGCGCCGTGTAGGGCACCGGTGACCTACATGGCAGTCAACGTGCTAAAACTTTTTTTTTGCGTTAAAGGTTAGAACAAGCATTTGGGGACACGATACACCGTAACTTCCCAGCAGTCAACACGCGTTTGGTGATACCGCAATCGGCAATAGATGCGGCCGCCCGCCTCCTCACCGAGGAACAACTCAACGATGCCGAGTTTGTCGAAATGCTGAAGAAGGCCAAACAAAACGAGACGGCGTTTTCCGATCGAAATGAGAGATTGTACAATGAATTAATATTGGAACTGGTCGATTTAGCGGAGACGCCTAACATGTGAGTTTTTTTACTATATTTGTTACTAGTGTTAATGGCGTATTGTGAGCGCGGGCAGGTTTTAATAGTGTTAGGCGTTGGGGTTCGGGATAAATAAAATTACACCAAAGTACAACATAAAAACTGTATTCAACTCTGAAAACACTTAAAACACTCAACAAACACTTTAAAACTCTCAATTCGCTTGTTCTGCTTCGCTTCAGGTGATCCGTCCGCTGTTTCGCTTCGAGTAGTTCCGATTACTGACTGACTGCGTGCCGTCTCTGCAGCGCTTTTATAGCCGATACCCCATCCCTAGAATTATGAGAATATTCCACATATCTCTAATATTGTTTCCGCTATCTGACAATATATGGCATTTATTTATTTATTTATTTATTTATTTATTTATTTATTTATTTATTTAATTAGTCTACTTACAAATTAACAGTATAAACCAAAACATTTGTAAGGTATTAATAATTAGCTTAAGTAATTTCTAACAACAACAATAAATCGCTGCAAACCATCATGGAATATATCCATTTCCGGAGCATAGGCTAGCAAGCCATTGAGTAGCGACTGAGTAGCATTGTACTGCTCGAGGGTTCTGAGTTCTACTAGATCCTTCGATATTTGTTCGACTGTTTGGCGATAGATGGCGTTACTCTTACCGGCGTAACAATAGCTTGCCTAAATCTATTTGAAGTTGAGGGCAAGTGTTCAGTAGAGATCGGTGGCGGAATCGGCCTAGTAAATGTGTTTGTGCAGTTAGTATGGCGAATGATCCGTTTGTCCGCGCAGACCGTGGCGGCGGCTGGAGCTGGCGTTCAACATGGCGGTGTACTGCCCGTCGCTGCAGACGGCGTACCCGGCGCGCGCGGTGCGGCTGGCGGCGCGCGGGCTGCTGCACGACGACGTGGCGGTGCGCAGGTCGGCGCAGCGGCTCGCGCACTACGCGCTCAAGCAGCGCAAGCGCCCGCTGCACAAGATACACGTCGACCCGTACGAGCTGGCCGGCCTGCCGCGCCCCGCACAGCACATACCCGGTATCCTCACTTTCTAATCGATTTACACGTGTGGTCACTATCACGAGGTTCCATACGTCCAGTGTCGGTTGCGGATTTAACTGCATTGCTACTTTTTTCTCCAGCTGATGGTTGTCTGGAACTGATCGCTCTTGGCTAGAAGACCGCCAATTGTACTTTTTTGTTTTTGTGTTTCGCATTTTTTGTTTATTTTGCGTACAGGAAAGCATACTCTCTCTCTTTCTCTTTCTTTTTCCCTATCTCTATCTCCCTTTATTTTGACGCAATTATGAGAAAGACTGCGACATTATCCAGCAAAAATACAGTTAAATAAAATAAATCTATTCATTATTATACAGGTTACAGAAAAGATGTGGAGTGGGTCATGTGGTCTGAAGACAGGATACCAAAGAACGATGAAGAATGGGATAGACCGTGGCTGAGAAGTCCTTCTTTTGGATTTTATCAGTGGCCCGAGAAATTGGTGGTAATGTCTTAAGTTAATTACGTAATGATACTCAATGATTCTCTTCATGATCGTTGTAAAGAGCGAATATTCCAGATGGGCAGCAAAGAAAGTGTTAATTTCTTTCTTTCCTTTCTTTCATTCTTTATTAGAGCCATACACCTATTAGGTTAAGTTGGCTTAATAAAATTGATGTTTGACTTTTGCTGCCATTAAAAAGTATTATAACAGAATTTTCGGTTTTTTTAAGATTATTAATCCCAAAAGAAATCAACAACCAAAACCTTTTTAATGCTGTTCAATCCTATTTCTGACTTACCCTACTACATTTACCTGTCTACTACAAACGAGTCTAAGAAGAATTTCTAATCATCATAAGAAATTATTGCTCAATTCGAAAATAAAATTTTGTTGGCGAATTGCAAATAATATTCCAAAATTGGTTATGGGTGCCAAATGATATGCGAGTGGAACATGTCGATGACTGTCCTGCACTACGCTTTAATGATGACCTCATGAACCTCATTACGCACATTTATTAAGGTTACCTCGTTACCATCTATATATATATAAAAATGAATTGCTGGACCGTTTTGGCTAATTTTGGTCTTGAATTATTCGTGGAAGTCCAGAGAAGGTTTAAAAGGTGAATAAATATATGAAAATGCTCGAAATTATATAAAAACAAACAATTTTGTTTTTCCTTTGATGTGTCTCCCGTCGGACGGATTCTTTGGTTTGTTTTAAGTTTATTTTATACAAAGGTTTAGGTTTAGGCATTACGAAGTCTGCCGGGTCAGCTAGTATTGTATAAAAAAGGCAATTTTCATATTTACATTTTGGCATATTTTTAGGTAGCCGCCCCGATAAGTCAACAGACGTGCTGTAAATTCCCTCCTCCTGAATGTATGGAGGAGGGCGAACGCTACCTTTTCGAGTTCTTCGATGACGACGAAAACGTTAACAAACTGGTCTCGTTCCTGACCGTCGAGGAGAAAAAGGGCAAGGACAAGTTCAGCGGCGTTCGATTCTTGTTCTTCAAGGTTGGTCCTTAAATAAATTATTATACTTTAGTTATCGATGGTAGGATGAAGAGTGAGGCAGTTGTTATACTATACAATTAAAATATTGACCTCACCTCTCAAGATTGATGGTGCATTGACGTTATAATGCCGATGAACTCCAAGTATCACTGCAGATGAGGCAGGCCGTGAATTCGTTCCCACATCTATCCAATTAGTATGCGATTGGTAACGTCATAACGAGATATGTATTAAATATGGAAACGTAGTCTTTTGTTACTTTTTGTAGTGAAACTTCTAATGCGACTACCAACAAGGTTGCGTTAAACGTTTAACGCTACCATGGAATAGAAAGAGACAGAGCGAGAGTGAATGCGTGACACTCGAACGCACGCGCGTAGTATATCTGTTACAGGTCAGCGCGAGCGTTAGCAACGACTAGCGTCCAATATTTTAATGAAGTATTTAAAAAAAATATTATATATTTATTTTTCTATCTATAATTTAAAATATATAAATGTTGAAGATGTCGCATCTATTATACAAAGCATTTACTATTATAAGAAAAATCTGATTTAAGGAGGAAAAATGAAGAAAACCTCAATACTACATATCGAAAAAGAAGTTTCACTTCATTCACGTGCACCAAGTTCGTACGCGCACCGTTTATTCTTGTGGTTTCTTTTTGATCATTTTATATTAATTATTTTTATAATACAATTAAAATAAAGACTTTCTATAATGCGCAGAAGAATTAATAACATTTTAATATTATTTTTTTAGTTTCTGTTTGCTCATTTCGGACCTCGTATTGCGGACAAGTTCACGGCGCACGCGCTGCGGTGTGCGGCGGAGACGCGCGAGGCGCCGCAGCGGTTCGCGGCGGAGGTCGCGTCCGCCGCGCTGCGGGCCGCGCGCTACTGGACCAGAGACGACGCTCTGAAGATGTACAGCGACACACTAGAGATATTTAAAGCGGGTCAGTAAACGCGAATTAAACTCAATACATTAAATTTTTTTTATCACATTCATTATATTCATATCTATATATAAATACGTGAAGCAAAAACTTTGTATCCTTTTTTACGAAATTTGCGCGGACGGAAGAGTATGAAATTTTCCACACTTATAGAGAATATAGAGAAGAAGTGCACAATGCTAATATTTTTTTTTTAAATAATGCATAAAATGTACATAAACTCAATAAAGAAAACATTACACACACTACAGACCATATATTTGATGCACTCACGCATGCATACTATTTATTGTCAAACTTTTGATCTTGACGTCTGTTGTCAAATTGAGATTAAATATTGTTTGTCTTTGTTAATATTTTTTATAGTGTAGTCTTGGCGAAATTTGTGATTATAGAAGTATAAAATACAATCATAATAGTGTACAAACTTACAATTCCAATTAATTATAGTCGAATTTCGACTACTGCGGGAACACTATTATATTTTATATTAATACGCGAAGCAAAAACTGAAAAAATGAAATTTTTCACACTTATACAGAAAGAGTGCAGAATGTTTGTTTTTTAAATTATGCACAAATAAACATTAAATCAATAAAAAAAACATAATATGCACTACCCCGTATTTGACACAACACATATACTGTAATATGAAGTCGTGGCCTAACGGATAAGACGTCCGGTGCATTCGTGTTGAGCGATGCACCGGTGTCCGAATCTCAGGCGGGTACCAATTTTTCTAATGAAGTACGTACTCATCAAATGTTCACGATTGACTTCCACAGTGAAGGAATAACATAAAAATCAAACCCGCAAAATTATAATTTGCGTAATTATTGGTGGTAGGACCTCTTGCGAGTCCGCGCGGGTAAGTACCACCACCCTGCCTATTTCTGCCGTAAAGCAGTAATTTGTTTCGGTTTGATAGGTGGAGCAGCCGTTGTAACTATACTGATACCTTAGAACTGATATCTGAAGGTGGGTGGCGCATTTACGTTGTAGATATCTATGAGCTCCAGTAACCACTTAACACCAGGTGGGCTGTGAGCTCGTCCACCTATCGAAGCAATAAAAAATAATTATATATTATTGTTAAAGTCTGTGGTAATATTGTGAATAGATTAATATTGTTTGTCTTTAATATTATTTGTCTATAGTGTAGTCTTAGTGAAATTTGTGATTATAGAAGTATAATTCTTTGACAATAGAGCCATAATAATGTCCAAACTTATAATTTCAATTAATTACAGTCGAATTTCGACTACTTAAGAATGGAAAGCAGTCGACGTCGCCCCAAACACGTCATTTCGGATCCTCCTGATCCACTAACTGTGCTTTTAGGTACCTCAAGCACCGGTCACCATTCTCGTCGAACCCGTCGCTTGCGACGAAGGGCTCGACGAGTAAATTAACCCATAGACACAGCCCACCGAGCTTCTCGCCGGATCTTCTCAGTGGGTCGCGTTTCCGATCCGGTGGTAGATTCTGCGAAGCACGGCTCTTGTTAGGGTTCGTGTTAGCAACGTCATCAGGTTTGAGCCCCGTGACCTCACCTACTAGTTAAGGTTCCGCTGAAATAGTCTCTCAAAGCTATCAGCTTAGGTAGGGAAAAAAAATCGACTACTGGGCGACAACTAGTTTGAATAAATACGCTGTAATGGGTTTATCTATTGAATGTCGTGTCTAATATGTAGCAGCAGCCTTTGTTGTGTAATTAACAGTAATTATAATAGCCGGCAAACTTCTTGAGCATTTGTTGACGTAATGGGGGTAAGTTTGCGCATGGTACACTCACGTGCAAAAACATTACTTACTCTGCGTCATAATGCAATTAAATTATCAAAATCAACATATGTATTTATTTATATATTTATGAGAACATCAACAAAAAATATAGGTTAATAATTGTAATAATTTAATCTTGGGGTAAAATAGATATTCCTTCTATTAAGTCAAAACTAGAGCTGTTGCCAGGTCTTGGTTCAGTTGAAGCGAAGCTGGTATTTGTAATTTTTTTTTTTCGTTATCATAATCTTGACCATCATCATCACTGTTTTTATCACCCGAGTTGATATCATCGTGATGAGTCGACATAGGGATCATCGGTGTAGTTTACAACTCGGTCGGTTCGGTCTACTTTTTTGTCTATAATTAATTATTTTTTTGAAGATATTCGATTCGTAGTAATCGAATGTAACTTTTTTCAATTATCAGCTTCCGATTATTTTCTGTTTTTTTTCCATCTGAAGCCTAGCTCTTTCATAATTCGTCGTAAACTTCATACCGAACCATTAAAATTTATATCTTCTTTAAAATTTTCGAAGCCTTTCTACGGTACGGAGTTTCGCTGCTTGTTATGTAGTTATTATGATTACATCTTTTTATTACAGATTGAACGAAACTATCCATTCCGGTAACTTTCTTCTTCCCTGATCTTTTCTTACCCGGAGTCCGAAACACGGCGAGCAAGCCAGAGCCTTTAGCTTCATTAATAATGCACCTAACAGTACTCACGGATGTTTTTGTTGCTTCCGAAGTCTGTTTTACTTTTTCCCATATCATTCTTCCCCTGTTTTATAATGAAGCAATATACGTCGTACACAATTTTTCTACCCTTTCTTTTGAATACTACACCAGTTTGTCGCGGCATAGTGTATTTTTTATAAAAAATCAACAAACACTCAACAAATAGCAATGGCAACAAAGTCAACAAGCAATTATAACAAATAACTTAAAGATTACTAACGATAGACTTTTCACTGTACGCAAGCGTACTTTTGGGAGCAAGCGGAACGAGGGCGAGGGGCGGGACGCAAGGTTCGACTGATCTACCAATAAAGCGCTCGATACGATTTCCCCTGCCGTCGCGCCTCACCCTCACCACCAAAGTGATCTAAAATTCGGTTCTGCGCAGTCAAGGTCATTTGCTCAAGAAGTTTGCCGGTTACTATAAAAAAAAATTGACCAAAGTCATTCCTACTGGTTTCAATGTTCAATAAAGTTGCTATTCCAATGCAACAGGCAATTTCACCTTCTATCCCTAAAGGCGTTCTGGCATTTATGTTGTTACGTCTATGAGCTCCGATAACTGATTAATAATCCTTAGTCTGCAACTATTATGTAAATAAGACAAGCAAGTGTATTTTTATTATATAAGAATTTTATTTAACAAAATATGCTAATAACCTTTGCTGCTAAATGCTACTGAGCTAAACAAAATTTAACATACTTTTCAGGTCTAACATCAGTGACTCCAGAGACGATGAATGATTGGGGCACGGCTTTGGCGACCGGTATGGAGAAGATGGATCCGCTGCGGGGCGCCACTGTGGTGCAGGGGATCGTGGACCTCGCCATCCCGCCACCAGCGCCAGCTAATGCTGACCCTGATCAGAAGGCATCCTTCGTTGTGTGTGCCCGATTGCACGCATTACAGGTTAGATTATTTTGACAGAGCAGTGACATCTATTGATCAATATTTGAAACTATAAGGCAATTAATTCTTTATATTCTCTCGATTGCAAAAGAGTTAATGTTTAAATTTTAAAATAATTTAAATAAATATGAAAATGCTCGGAATCAAATAAAAATAACACTTTTGTTTTTCCTTTGATGTGTCCCCCGTCGGACGGATTTCTTTTGTTTGTTTTAAGTTTATTTTTATTTATGGATTGAGGCACTACGAAGTCTGCCGGGTCAGCTAGTAGATAATAAATAGGACATCTAACTCACAAGCTACAATATAGTTGTCAACTTATGTGCAAAATAATAATTGCACTATTAAACGAAATTTTAAATGTGTTAATACTGAGCATGTCTAGAATAAAAGTTTTTTTTTTAGGGAGCCATCGGGTCACTGAAATGGCGAACTGCATCGCTGTCCCAGATCCTGCTGAAGAAACTCGATGCTGCGAACTTTATACAGCATCCTTACCAGAATGTGCGGGAAAGTGTCGGAAGGTTCGATATCAAACTTACTTGGAATTTTAGATTAATTTCCTTTTACAAGAGATCTGGTGTCGCTCTCACACACAGGTCGTTGGTATTAACAACTATGAAAACAATGTTTGGCTTTGATTGACGAACAATAGAGTCTGTAATGAGAGCATATTGAGATATTTCACGGGAACATGAAAAGTCGTGTCCTGTAAATTATTTCTATTTTTTAAATACTATTCAGTCCTTCGATCAACAATAGTTACTAGATAAAGGGATACGTACAAAATTAAAGCAAAAACTGTCCGCGTGAATATATACTTATATAGCTACATTCGTTTATTAACAAACGGAGAAAAAAGTTTTGAAACACTTTTACTTTCAAACTAATAACAACTATGGCACCTAGTAATAAAGTCACAAATCTCCAAAACATTATCTAATACTTACGATCATTCGTCACATAAAACGAGCAAAGCAATAAATTACTCCTGTCACTTACCAATAAAAAGACATATTTTAAACAACTTTTAATGTTAAATCAATCTTAAGGTGCAACAAATAAAGTAACTTTTCCCTTAATTGCTCTGAGAACTAACATCGTTTTGCTTTATTTATTTTTGCTTCTTGAAATGCCGATTTCTATTTACTACAGGAGGTAAGGGAGTCGCGCTTAACACTAAAATAATTTATTAATGAATTAAAGTAAAAGTTTAGTTGTTTACTTTTTATGTTTTGGAAATGTATGTTTGTTAGTATCTATACATTACTTATTATTTTATTAGCGTTACGTTTTTGTGTAATATATATTTTTAAGTTTTCGCGACCAGTGCACATAATAAAACAACGTTTAAACGGTTTCAAGCGTGGTATTTTTATTACAATGTTTCGGCCACATTTCAGTAGCCGTGAGCACGGAAGGCAAAGATGTCCAGTGTCAATAAGCGGAGTTCTTAGCTGGCTTATAAAAGTCATCTCTTGTTTCTCTGGCGACAATCGAGATCCATTCTGCACACGTGATTGCTAGGAAAGCTAAAATAAAAATGGAAAGCTAAGTATCTAATGAGAGTCCAACAAACAGACACAAAAGCAGCATTAACCAATTTTAACCAACTAATTTTGAAGTGCTGCTAACAAATTTTAAAAAATTATTACAACACAAATCTACTCCATGCATTTACTGTTCTGTTAAGCAAAAGTTTGTCCATGTGTTGGCCGAGCCTTGGCCAACATTTGTAGCGGTGGTTAAAAATCGGTAATTTTGTTCAAAATTTAATATTATTTATAAGTTTAAAGCTTACAATATAGTTTATACTTCATGTACTTACCGAAAGTAAGATACTCCCGCCGTTAAATTGCTTTTTCGGGCCTTATTTTTGCAACTTTTGAATACACACTGCGGTATTGTGAGACGGGTTGACATTGGCTGTGTTTGAAGTGAACTAAACAAAATAAGAGCTCACATTTCAAGTGCGCTGTTATTTGTCGAGACGGATTTTATGCACCGACCCGAAATCTAGTTACTATTGTTGATCGAAGATTCAGTCCGTCAAATTTTCAAAGGTTGTGTAATTAAGCGGGAACAAAAAGCGTGATGTTAAATAACTTTTCACAATATAGCAATATACATACTAACTGACAATAGATGGCAGCACTTTGTAAGTAGTAAACTCCAGTCATGCGTCGGACCTGACTAATCTATGTATATTATCTATGGTCGGACCTGCCACGCGCCATTTTTATTGACCTCAAATAATATCAATCAGTATTGATATATAATGTTATATTTCAGTTTGCTAGCGACAATGTTCGACACGGAAGTGTTGTTCCCCGGCGGGCCTACTGGTTACTCCCTGTCTCTTGGCGACTTCATAGAATCGATTCAGCCAAGACTGGCCCCTTTGTATGATGAGAATGGAGACATTGGTATGTATAGTACTAAATTATGTATGGCTTAAAACATAATGTTATTCGTCAATTTCAATTTGATTCGTTGTATGAATTAAAAAAATTGCGGGCTAGAAAGAAATAATACATAGTTATTTATTGTTCTATATTTTGAGATTTTTTTTGATATTTTTTGTTATTTAGACCACTGAATATTTGGATGTCGTTATCGCCTCTTGCGTAGAGACCGTACTGCAGAGACAGCATATATCACAATCGAATGCAGATGAACAACATCACACATAGAAACTTGGTTCTAATTATCTCTGAAGCAAAATAGCAAAATTAATAATGTTTTTTTTTAACAAAGCACGCAATGTATCAAAAAATAAATTATGCTGACTGCCCGGTCAACGTACTCTAGCGACAGAAGAAGGTTGCTGATCGGTTGGCATAGTCGCTAGTTCCTGTCTATAATGACGGTAGCAGTCAAATATTCAGATGCTACTGCGATGTGTAAGTTCACAGTAATGTCTGATCTAAATATGTTATTTCGCAGTGATATCGCTGACGACAACTACGTCACCGCTACAAGCGACGGCCGCCGAGGAGGCTCCGCAGTCGGCCGCTTCCACGTCCAGAACCAGAAACTCGTTAAGCGGACAGATACCGGTGCGCGTCGCCAGACTGTCGCCCGACTCCGCTGAAGCTTCCGTGAGCGAAGACGCAGCTCAGGTTAGAGGAACACGAGCGATGATGACGTCACCAAACACAGATGGCGCTGCGGATGACGATTTAAAATTTAAATTGTTATTGTACCTTTGATGTTGTCGACTAGAGACATGCTCGTTTGCTAGCTTTGGACAGGTTTCAGGTCGTCATTTTAATTGAATTGCAATATTATATATTTATATATATAAAAATGAATTGCTGTTCGTTAATCTCGCTAAAATTCGAGAACGGCTGGACTGATTTGGCTAATTTTGGTCTTGAACTATTCGTGGAAGTCTAGAGAAGGTTTAAGAGGTGAATTAATATGAAAATGCTCGGAATTATGTAAAAATAACAATTTTGTTTTTCCTTCGATGTGTCCCCCGTCGGACGGATTCCTTTTGTTTGTTTTAAGTTTGAGGCAAAAGGAAGTCTGCCGGGTCAGCTAGTTAACTTATAATTCATCGGCCGTCTTGTGTAGTGGTAAGTGACATGGTCACTACACAAGGGGGTCGAGGGTCCGACTCCCGCCAAGGGAAGATATTTGTATGATAAATATAAAATGTATTTTCCAGAGCTATGGATGTATATTATATATATGTATGTGTATAATAAAAATCTTACATTTATTTACATTATCTGGTACATGTAAAACAAGTTCTTTACGAACTTAGCACGGGCCCAGCTAACGTGGCGTGATTGTTAGTAAAATATTTATTTATTTATTATTATTTAATAACTGTAGTAGAAAATCTGTTGTGTATTGCCTTAAGTTTTGTCAACATTCTATTTAAAAAAAAAAAAAAAACTCGGTGTAGTCTGAAGCGGTTGAAGGTGAAGAAGAATCGATAGGCCGTAGTCGTTTAGAGAAGCAGCTGGTGGATCGGCTCGACGCGGCGCTCAGTCTGTCCGGGGACGCGCCTGTCGTCGCGCCCCAGCCCAAGGATCACGCCCGGGCTCTGAGTCTACTCACTACCGGTAAGCAAAAACTCGTGGCGCTCTGTTTAATATGTCATCGGTCTCATAAATAATTAAGGCATATACAGAGATATAGTTAAGCAACGCAGTAACACCAAAGATTATGTTAAAAAGTAATTCTAACGGCTAATATTTTTAAATAAAATATTTTTGTACTTTAAGACGCTGTTTGTAATAAAATCATCTGATTATTGTGATAACTATTGAAGAAACTACAGAAACAGACTGTATGAATATAAATAAGCAAAACTTTTTATTTTTTATCATTGACACAATGTCGCAAGGCAAGACTACTGTTACGCCGTTAAAGTAACGCCATCTATCGCCGAGTAGCACAAAACGAATATCAAAGAAACCAGTAACATCGAGAACGCTCGACAAGTAACAACGCCATCTATTGTCAGATACCGGAAACACATCGAAGCTACTTGCCCAGAATGTTGTCGATAATGTCGTATCATAAAAGCGTTGCAGAGATGGCACGAAGGCAGTCAGTAATCGAAACTACTTTAAGCGAAACAGGGAATGGATCACTTGAAGCAAAACGGAAGAAGTGAATTAAGAATTTTAAAGTGTTCATTAAGTGTTTTAAGTGTTTAATAGAGTCTTAATTTGTACTTCGGCAGGATTTTTATTTATCACGTAACACTACAATTAATGCGTTTTGCCCACATTAACGTGGTGTAGAAAAATAGATTCTTACTCGTGAGATCATGTACAGAATCGGCATTGCACAACGAGCGATGGACCGCTCTATGTTGGGCTTCAATACCCAATACCCATACCCAGATTAGACGCCAAACAAAAGTTACAGGTGCTGGTAAGAAATTAGTAGCACATCTGAAATGTAGTTAGGCTTGGACACTTAGCAGGACGAAATGGCAAAAAGTAGGTCTCATGATGGATAATTTAATCGAAACAGCGGAGAGGACGTGGATGAGAATGATGGCGATCAAAAACTAAGGCATAAAAAAAGGAAGACCCATGCTCAGTATTGGCTATTAAAGGGTTGAAGATGATGATTATTATTGTGATCAATAACAAAGGAATGAAGATAGAAAATGAAGATTTAATACATACATTTTACTAATTAAATCTTGAAGTGTCAGTGATTTTGATCAAATTTCGATCATTGGTCGTAAAGTGATTTAATGAACGAAGTATTCGATTCATAAGAAGAAATCGTGTGAGATAGTTCGTATACTTAGTTAAAATTGTATATGTATCTCTTTATGTGCTGCGTCTTGCGACCTGCGGGTCCACATACAACTGTGTGCTTAGTGCTAGTTTTTTAACGTTCTCGATAGCGCAAAAGTCAGCTCTTATTTGTATGGAATGGGATCGTTCGCCTACGTTTCCCGCTAGTAGCGCTGTTCCAACTGCTTACAAAATTGGGTTATCTTTCACTGCTTAGTGCGAACTAAGCACACTGAGCTATATATAAGTGCAACTTGTCGTTACGGCAGTGATCCGCGCGAGCACGGGCGTGTGCGTGCGCGGCGTGAGCGCGGGCGGCGTGGGCGGCGGCGTGGTGCGCGCGGCGTGTCGGTGCGCGGCGCGCGGCCCCACGCAGCCGCACGACGAGCTGCCGCGCGCCGCCGCCGCGCTGCTCGCCGCGCTCGCCGTGCAGACGCGCACCGCCGCCGGCTTCGATCGCACCTGCGACGAACTAGAACTGCTCGCCACAGGTACGCACCCATCTCTACCAGCTGTCCTCTCTGTGATACTAATCAGGCTGCAGAGCTTACAATAAACAATATGTAGGATATAAGTAAAAAAAAGACTTTTGTTTTTTATTGCATAGATGGGTGGACGAGCTCACAGCCCACCATGTGTTAAGTGGTTACTGGAGCCCATAGACATCTACAACGTAAATGTGCCACCCATCTTGAGATAAAGTTCTAAGGCCTCAGAATAGTTACAACGGCTGCCCCACCCTCCAAACCGAAACGCATTACTGCTTCACGGCAGAAATAGGCAGGGTGGTGGTACCTACCCGTGAGGACTCACAAGAGGTCCTACAACCAGTAATTACGCAAATTATAATTCAGCGCATTTAGATTTTTATTACACGATGTTATTCCTGCACCGTGGAAGTCAATCGTGAACATTTGTTAAGTACGTATTGCATTAGAAAAATTTGTTACCCGCCTGCGGGATTCGAACACCGGTACATCGCTCAACACGAATGCACCGGATGTCTTATCCTTTAGGCCACGAAGACTTCAAATTTCAAATAAACTCAGACAAAAATCGCTTTTACATGACCGATTTAACGTTGTTTCTGTTTTCTCTTGCGCTGCGTAGGTAACTCGTGGTGGGCTCGACTGGCGTGCTTGGACTTTGCTCAGCCGTTCCTGTTTTACGGGCTCCCGTTTCTGTGCGATAGTCCGGACAGAGCTGTTCGAGCCGAACAGTTCGCTTTGAAACTCATGCGGGACTCGCGACTCGAGGTGATGACACATTTTGAATTCATTAATCAATCATGTGAAATTATTAAAGGGAAATAATCATCTACTGTAGCCGGTAACCGTTCTCCAAACCGTAGATTGGTGGATATGTAATTAGTGTACCAAAACTATTAGAGCAGATGAATGATACGCGGGCCTCTGGTACGTGTCGGTCGCGCAGATGGAACTTGCGTGGGATTCAAAAGCAAATCCGTAGTAAACATCCAGCAGTTTATTGAAAGTAATCAGGCGGACAGACAGTACAATAATACCAAAGATATATTATTATAGAGGAACTTAAAAGTACAGCGTGCAGACCGTGCGACGGTACCGAGAGAAAAGGGGAGAGCGAACCATAGACAGCTACATTTATACACAATGCAGGGCATTGAATTACAAGCCAAGTTTAATTGCGTAACATTCTTAATAAAAACAACAAATTCGTTACATTATAAATGTTAAAAAAAATTGCAATTGGAAAATATTGTTTGCTGTTCATTGCGCTTAAATATCAGTTGACGCTCGGGGTCAACGCTCTTATGCGATCTGAAAACTACCTTCGTTTCATATTAAAGGTTCATAAGTCGATGTAAAGATAAAAATAATTATTCATTAAATATTTGTGTTTGGGCTTGGTTCTCTAATCTTTTGTTTTTAAATTTAGTGCGCAATCGATACGATACTTGGTAATTTGTTAGAAACTCACCGTAGGTCTGTGTCTTTGTAGTTATAATAATATTTGTTAGCACTATCTTCTTGGAGTGGCCACTTTCATTTGTTTAAGTAATTAATTAGCTTCACTCAATATTCACTAATATTTTTCGCGATCGCACAATTTTGATGCGCACGATTCAAACCCGACTTTATATATGACATTGATATAAAAGGGGAAAGGGATGGGACAATATCGATGCGCTCTCAATTACGTTCAAAAATATTACTGCGATGTATTCATTGCAGATAGCGTAAACAATTTGTCTGCCTATTATGTTAAGGTTTTCAATGTCATTTGCAAAATCACGTAAAATATTTTCACAGGTTCGACAGTCGGCTGCTAAGCTGTTGACAGGATTGATGCACTGTCGCGCTCTACCCGACGAACAGAGGACGTTGCGTTTGTTGATACGCAGCGCTCGATCGAAGCAACTGGTGGAGAGACATTTCGGGGTGCTCGGCATGTGCGCCTACCTGTCCTCTCGACCGTACAGCATCGGGTCCAAGTTCGGCGACGTGCTGTCCGAGCTGTCCCGGCACACGAACGCGCCGGACCCGGTCCCCGCGACCATACGACGCGCATTAGCAGACTTCAGGAGGACCCACCAAGACGACTGGCCGAAACATAGAGATCAACTCTCTGAAGACGAACTGGACATGTTGGCTGATCTCACTTCCCCCCCTTCGTACTTCGCCTAGCTTGCCAACGTTAGCTGCGTAAATCAGGACCTCCCTATTTATATTGTATATTGTTCAGGTTTCGTTTTAGGCTGGCGACAGACAGATCTGTGCAATGTAATCACAATCCGAGCTTTTTTATTTTTGTCAGAACAACCGAGACAATAGTGGATGCAAGTATCCAAAAATTTCGTAAGTTGCCACACGATAAAATGCTTTAAGTCAGTTGCCAGCTTAAAATAAATAAAAGCCGATATATGTAGGTAGTTTAAAGATTTGAATTTTTTGTAGAAATGTAGCAGAATTTAATCTTGATAAAAAAAAACGCAAGAAAGCACAACAGACATGTGAGAAATGACATTTGGCTACATTGGTAGCTCGCTGTTTCTTCTACGGTATTCTGCTCGTTATAACGGGTTGCGGCATAAATAATAATTCTATTGGACGTTGATATATTTGTTTCTGTGGGATGTTTTGGGTGAAGACATTTTTATTGGGATTGGATTTTTTTATTAACCATCACCAAAATTAAGTTAAGATTCATAAAGTAAACAATTCATTTCGTGACTGGCCCGAAAATTATTTTATATGATTAATACATATAGGACTAAAAGTTGCTTTACTAATAAAGTTATTTTGTATACAGAAAATGTAATGTTTGGAAATTAAATTTTTAGAACGGTCATAATTAATTGTTTTTCATTATTTAAATTGGGAATAAATCGTAATTATGTGGAATATTCGGTGCACTGTTGGTTTATTGTGCAGGGTTTTATTGAAATGTTAATTTTTAGCTCAATATTCTTGAAAGGTCATCGGGAAATCATAATCATTATATAAATTTAAAGTTTCTAATTTTGTATGTCGATCAACTGTAAAGAAATTTAATTGTTATTTTTTTGTTATATTTATATAAATATGTACCTTATATGTTTGGAATATTCGTCGCTTTGTATAGATAATTTCAGTAATCGTGAAAATGATGTCTGAACACTTTGACATGACATTTTATCTACTGTAAATAAATAAATGAACAAACACAAATGTACATTAACATGTACAGAGCAGTAAATTCATTGACAGAAATCATCACCGAGCCTAAATTAAAGGAGTACCTTGATTCACAAGGTTGAGGAACTACCATAGAATTAATCTGACGATATTCTGTGTAAATAGATATTGTTTAAATTTTATATTTAATTATTTTAGGAAAATAGCTCAATTTTTTGGCCTCTAATAATATATAAGATATGTATTTTTTGCAACACACAATTTATGTATAGCACTGCAATTAATTATGAAAAGTCAACTTTATTAAATCAAAGAGGTACACTCTTTGTGATGCAATAACTTTCAATTTTGTCTATGGTTGAACCGCAATTAATAACGTACGTTTTTCTACTTCATTAATTTGGGAAGCCCTATCTTCGATAGATTCAATAATTTTCATAAATATAATTATTTTACTGCAACTACAAATTTCTGCATTGCGAAAAATGAAGAAACAATAATCTGTAGAATATTCCCTTGTAAATTTTGTTTATTTATTTATGTATAATTGTGTATCCATTTTACATAGATCTGGTAAAGGAAGGTGATGAGACTGTAATTAATGTATCATTAAAAAAAAAAATGAAACAAAACTTCATATTTGTGTTTTATTATTCAAATGTAAAAATAAAAAATAATTTATCACTACATAAAATTAAATATAGCGGCAGTACGGTCGATTATGGTTATAAAAATCACAAATTAAAGTTGTACAAAATATGTTTTGTATTTAAAGGTCCGATTATGTATTTGCAATATACATTTGAAAGCGTTTACTATTTGAAATTAACATCCATATACATATCTTTAAATCTTTTATGTTATAGTCTCCACTGAATTTGGTGTGTAACTGTTGTTATAAGAGCCGAGACTAATATTGTAATCATTATTTTTTTGGTTTTCTACTCATTTCATAGTTGCAATTCCACAATAGGCGATCGGACAGCAATAACAATAAAAAAAAAACAATATAAAGTTTTGTGAATTATGAATTTTAATTTACGAAAACTGCAAAATAAGCCAATTTTCGTTTGAGTACCCACGTATGACTATCAGGCTTGAAATGTTGTTCTGCATGGTTTTATTTAGTTTCATGACATGTCCGATCTTCTATTTCAATTTTAGAGTTTTACAATTAAAAGCATTTAAAAAAGGTATTTAAAAATCCGTTAGTTTTTATTACGTATTCAATGCTTCTTTCTGGGTTGTATACAAACTGGCAGCGAACACGATATCTCTCTTTATAGATGTAGACGCTTCCATCATTTTCGACTGAAGTTTCGGATCACCGATCGCCACGGATGCGTCTTTCACGTCTACCAGTAACTGTAATATTTTATAAATAGTTTATTTTATAATTACTGGTGGTAGGATGCCTTGTGAGTCCGTGCGAGAAGGTACCACCACCTTGCCTATTTCTGCCGTGAAGCAGTAATGCGTTTCGGTTTGAAGGGTGGGGCACCCGTTGTACTGTTAAAAGTGAGACCTTACAACTCATGTCTCAAGGTGGGTGGCGGCATTACGTTGTAGATGTCTATGGGCTCCGGTAACCACTTATCACCAGGTGGGCCGTGAGCTCGTCCATCCATCTAAGCCACAAATTAAAAAATAACACGATTGCGAAATAAAAAGCATTCTGAGGCTACATCAAAATATTGTATTCAGTTTAGTTGCTTTAAAATATTAAACGATTTAGCCTGCGAAAGAAGGCGACGATACTTATGAAGGTTTCATTTTTAATAGTTGTGAGTTGTACACGCTTTTATTTTTTAATTCGAGTAAATGTTAATAAGGGCCTCGGTCCACTGCAGGTATTAATTAGGAACCAGAGTACCATTAATATCATTGATTCCACCTACTATTTCGCGACGTAGGGCCTGAGTATCAATTATGTACTGTAATTATTACTACATAAATAATAGGGGCTGTTCTAGTTACCATACTAAAATACAAATGGTCATCAAAACCTCAGCGCGTTGAGAGATTTTTTTTCTGATAATGGAAGTAAAAGCTTGTTTAGCTATTTAATGTTTAATTACACTTACCTCATGCAACTGTTGTATACATCTGACAATGATTCCTTCTTGAACATCCGTTAGGTCCATAATCTCTGCGAAAGGTTTCTCCAAAGCCCATTCATACACTACCCTTACAAGGCCAAAGTTCAACCTCTCTGCTTGCCCTTCGAAGTGACTTACCTGAAATCAATGTTAGTTAGTTTCGTTGTGGCAACGCCAAATATTATTATTAATATTATTTGCACTCCACCTGTCGTACGTCGATGGTACTATATCCGGAATGGACCCTGAAGTACCAATAATTATAAAGTAATTTAATTGGACCAACATACAAACAAACAATCACAGAGTAACATAAGTCGAATCAAAATATATTCAAGTTTATTTTTATTTTATTACTTAGATGGATGGACGAGCTCACAGCCCACTTGGTGTTAAGTGGTTACTGGAGCCCATGGACATCTACAAGGTAAATGCGCCACCCACCTTGAGATATGAGTTCTAAGGTCTCAGTATAGTTACAACGGCTGCCCCACCCTTCAAACCGAAACGCATTACTGCTTCACGGCAGAAATAGGCAGGGTGGTGGTACCTACCCGAGCGCACTCACAAGAGGTCCTACCACCAGTTAAAGTTGTTTTGTTAAACAGTATTAATTAAGGAATTTGTTAATTCGACTAAAGAAAATTTTGTACATTTCAAATGGTCAGCAGTGACGATCATTCATATAGTATTTTTATTAAATTTATGTCATAAAAATTACTCAATATCAAAATAATTTTTTTTCATAGTTTTTTACATAAATCACTATGTTTATATCATGTGGAATTTTTAATTAGTAATATAACCTTATAGCATGTCGTTAATTTGCTGCCAAATGACGTGGTGTAATAAAGTTGTGCTTAGGTAAGTTTTGTAAAGTTACCGCGGTAATTTTGAAGAATCAGCGCTATCGGTTTGCCTATTGGCTGGCTCGAAACTGCCTATCTACAAAAAATACTCACTAAATATTTAGCCTCTATAGAAGCGATTTCGGCGTCGATCTCCTCAATGGCTTTGACGCCTTCAGTCAGTTTCTCTGTGAGCGGGTTCGTGATCTGGGTCCTGGCTTGGAACACGAAGCAGCTGAGCAGCGCGGCAATTTCTGCCGGGGTCTTGTCGGCGAACACGTTCCGGAATATCAGCTCCGATATGATCAGTTCGTTTGTTCCCATTCCGCACGCCACGCGACCTGAATTATAATAAAGTAATAGTAGTATATATACTGGGTGTTAGGAGATCGCTTCCCAAAACGAAGACAGACGATAGTACCGTTATGCCGGTAGGAGTAACGCCATCTATCGTCGAATAGTCGAACGAATATCGGAGGATCTAATAGCACCTAGAACGCTCGAGAAGTACAACGTCATCTATTGTCAGATAGCGGGAACACAATACTCGACTTGTGTGGAATGTTCTCGATAATTCTAGGGAAGCGAATTGAGAATTTAAAGTGTTCTGTTTGTGTTCTAAGTGATAAATACAGTTTTAATTTATACTTCGGTGGAATTTTATTTATCCTGAGCCTCAGCGCGTAACATTACTATCGTCTGTCTTCGTTTTCGGAAGCGGTCTCCTAGCACCTAGTATAGTTTTAGTAAATTTAACTAACCGATTAGACCGATTTAGATTATTCTTCATACCTTTCAGTATAACGCTATCGTGTTCGTCGATGTAGCTCAGCTCCCTGAGGACTAGCAGTCTCCGTTGGTAGTCGGGGTAGAGAGACAAGTTCTCGAACGACAGTAGACGTTTATATTTATCTCGCTTCCTCTCAGCTTGTTTGCGTTCGTATACCACAGCGAATTCAGACTTGAAGTTCGCTATATCGGTAAATTTCTTGTGGGCCTCGAGTTCAGTCTGAAATATATAATATTATATGTACCTACACGTTTAAACAGTCATGCGTTCTGATCAAAAGGGTAGGTAAGCGCAAATTTTTTTTTTACAGTTGCGGCTTTTTCTAATAATTCCTTTTTCACTAGAACTAAAAAAATATATAATATATATTTTATAATATATATTTTTTGTTATTTTAACACTGCGCTCAAGTGTAATAGGGTTCAACATAACGTCGCACTCGGTTCATCGACGTCATATGAGTAAGGCGATTAGCAGTGGTTTGGAATATAAGTTGACTAAAACAAAAAATATTTTAAGTTCATTGAACTAAATATTAATATGTACCAACTACTTCATATAATCTGTGTGAACTGCGAAAGATTTATGAGTGAGTAAGAATTCAAGGGTTATGTAACACCACCCCGCCTATTTCTGCCGTGAAGCAGTAATGCGTTTCGGTTTGAAGGGCGGGGCAGCTGTTGTAACTATACTGAGACCTTAGAACTTATATCTCAGGGTGGGTGGCGCATTTACGTTGTGGATGTCTATGGGCTCCAGTAACCACTTAAGGTGGGTGGCCAGGTGGGCTGTGAGTTCGTCCACCCATAAAAAAACCTGTTTAGTTAAGGTGTATACATACAGCTAGTGCTTTAAGCTTGTCTAGTGCCTGCAGTATCTCGCCGGTGGAGATGGCGAGGGAGTGCGTGAGGTTGATCCGCTCGAGCTGGACGGCGCCGGCGCGGGCGGCGTGCGACATGCGGGACAGCTCCTGCACCGTGCTGGCGCAGCTCGCCCCCACCGGAGCGTCCTTGAACCTGACCAGTCAAGCACACTTTACGGTACGCCTTAACCGTAGATCGGGGGGAATAGGGACTAAGGGGTAGAATAATGAAAAATCAGGGTTGTCACAACGCTTTTGTGAGATTTCATTTTGTTGAAACTAAATTTTAAATTTATTAAAATGAATATTGAAACATGAGAAGAAAGAACATTAGCAATATTAAAATATTTTTGAATATTGAAATATAAAAAAAACATACAAATCTGGGTTGTCACAATGATTTTGTGAGATTTAAATTTGTTAAATTAAAAATAACTTTTATTCAGTGTTTAAGAATATTAAATAGTTTAATTTAGTCATCGGAGTTTTGTAACTGATTAAATATATTGAAAAGTTAATTACCTAAAGGTTAGTTACCTAACTAACAATTAAACAGTGCCAGCCCTATTGAAAAACTCTATTGTCTCCATGCGTAACCCGATTCACCCCAAAAGCCAAGGTTGGATCAGGTCAAGCTAGTTTTTTAAGTTTTTATGTATACTTTCAATGAGATATGAAAATTTAAACCTTGGGAACCGTTTTAATCTTCATTTTATTGGTATTACCCTAAGAAAAACCGCTGAGAATTTGTGTTGAAATTGAAAAATGTTCCAATTCCCCTCCAATCTACTGTACTTAAAATATAACTCTCGACATTAGTTACGTGTGAACCCACCGCGGTATCTGCCGCTGTTCCCAGTCTTGTATAATGCGAGTGACGTCGATTTTTAGGTTCATTTTCGTTACCGCAACTATGTTCCTTGGCGCGATACACAATACTTTATGATCCATCGTGCTTTCCTCTGTACCTGAAATAATCAAATGTTCCGTTTAATGTATTTATAATGAATAAGTAAATTAATTGTCAATGGTAATGACATAGTTTCTTAGCGTTTATCAATTACGTCTATACCTTAATAGTATCAATAAACTGCAACTATTTATTAACCTTTACATGTCAGATTAAAAAGGAAAATTCAATTTTTATTATTGGCATCTTAAATCAATGTTTTCATAGCTCACTTCATCAATTTTGGTAGATACTTCTGTGAGCAATGCTGAGCAAACATCAGACGGCACTCGCGTTGTTTTTTTGGCTCATTAAGCTTTCATACTGTAGTGTCTTTATTTAATATCGAATAAGTATAGTTACATTACGTACCTATGGTGTCGTATGTAGCAGAGAAACTGAGCATCCTGTACCAATTTTCATCGATTTCGAAGTTATACCGCGACGAGTCTTGGATCGGCGTGTTCAGTACTAAAACCTTATAGGGAGTTTGTCGTGGACCTAAAAAAAACATAATTTAAGATAAGAAAATTTAACTATTTTGATTTTCAATCCAATAAAGAATACAAGTTTAGGATGCTGGATTTTACGTAATTTAAGTGTATTTTTTTTATTGCCCTTGTAGGCAGACGAGCATACAGCCCACCTGAAGGTGAGTGGTTGCCGTCGCCCATGGACTTCAGCAATGGCAGGGGCAGAGCCAAGCCGTTGCCTATATGCTGTATAATATGTTTTTGTTACATTATTAAACATTAAAGACTCACCAGTGCTATTCAAATACACGGCCAGCTGATTGATATAAGGCCCTGCGGAGACGATCAGTATCTTCCCTGCGTCCAATTCCTTTGCCACCTTCGATTGGTTCAGCAGTATGGGCATTATCTCGTTGAGCACGTCGAGGTAGGCGGCCGCGGTCTCGTAGAAGGCGGCGAGGGGGGCGAGGTGCGACGCGAGGGGGGCGCTGCACTTCTCGGAGTACTCCTTCTCGGCGACCTCGAGCTGCCTGCGGTAGTTGTCCGCCTGACAGATCTGGTTGAACTCGCAAAACGAGCGCTGCATCATGCCCTCGACGGAAACCGTGGCCGCTCTGTGGGACAATAATTCGTTTTCTCGCATTAAAACTGTACTAGTGGTCCCTCGGTAATCAAAATTTGACTTTTTATTGCTTAGATGGGTGGACGAGCTCACAGTCCACCTGTTGTTAAGTGGTTACCGGAGCCCATAGACATCTATAGCGTAAATGCGCCACCCACCTTGAGATATAAGTTCTAGGGTATCAGTATAGTTACAACGGCTGCCCCGCCCTTCAAACCGAAACGCATTACTACTTCACGGCAGAAATAGGCAGGGTGGTGGTACCTACCCCTGCGGACTCATAAGAGGTCCTACCACCAGTGAAAAACGACTATAATTAATTGAAATTATAAGTTTGTATACTATTCTGATTCGATTGTCAAAAACTATTATACTTCTATAATCATAGACTTCGCCAAAAATACACTTTAGAAAAATGTTAATAAAGAGAAACAATATTTAATCTATTCTCAATTTGACCAAAGACTTTAACAATAAACAAAAGAGTATATACGCGTATGTATTTCATATATTTTTTACTGGTTTAATATATTTTTATACAAAAAGAAAAAAAAATATTGCATTCTACATTTCTTCTCTATATAAAGTATAAATGAGTCGACTATTATCAAAGCCGGCAATCTGACTTTTGGACAATGATTGGTAAATCAGAAAAACGAATTATTGACTTTGTATTCCATTGGCAGTCACAAAACTCTTCGGAACGACATCTTAGATAAATAACAGGTTAACTATTAACCTTTATTTAATGCAGGTTTTGAACCGTATTCTTTGAAGGAGACGATTATNTCCTTCCTCAGCAAAACAAGTCTGCCCGTCTTCCACTGTTTCGGAAACCGTCCCGACTCGAGGCAGGCTTCAAAGAGCCGCACGAGCCGGTCCCCAAGGGCACCGAAGGCCAAATCCCAGACCCGACCATGAACACCGTCAGGGCCGGGGGCCGCGTCCTTCCTCCGCATCCTCGACACGGCCGCACGAATCTCCTCCTCCGAGATACTCGGAGGGACCACCTCAGCTTCAAAAAATTAACCTAATCTAACCTAATATTGATTAAGTATACATTTTTAGATCATATCGGAATAATAACATTTTTTTGATCAAAATTTTTAATCATCAGTATATTGATGTAAATTTGGATATCACAAAAATAAGGTCTGGTTCTTAGTGGCACTGATACTACTGAATCTGGTGAAGATGTTTGTTATTTGGAATTTGGGTTTACTTGTTTGTGTACTATATTTTGCTTGTTGCTTGTTGTTTGCGTTATTTCTATACCAGTGCCCCATATTCTGAGACAGGTAATATTATAAAGCTATTTTTACGGTATAGTCTTAGATTTTTCATTGACATGATATTATTTACAACATTTGAACATCAATTTGGAATTTATTTTATTTGGAAAATTGATACTTGCCTATGAGATAAAGGCTTTAATGAAATATGGACTTCAAACTAAAAATGCATCCTCCAACACAGAAATTAAATATATTTCATATAGTTTTTGTTTGCAATAACAGTATGCTGGGTGGAGTCTTGTAGTGGAACTGTTTGTACAAGATGATAATAAGTTTTAACACTATAAAGTGAAAGGGAGAGAAGGAATATTTTGATAACCAGTTATTGTTTTTTTTTAAAATTCATACTAGTGGTAATGAAGTTTCAGTCTCTAGGATGAAGGGAGCGGCAGTTTTACTTTTACTCTTAACAAATTGTGTTAATGCCGTCATAAATGCAAGTAATTGCAGATTTAATTTTTGTTCTGAAAAATTCAAAAAAATGTTATTTTGTAGCTCTTGACCATAATTGAACTTTTGGAAAAAACAATTTGCAATGAGTTGTAGATTTGCATGAATAAATAAAGTTCTATATCCTCTAAACTATTGAATCCAAGCTACTAGATGGAATGGATGGATTTATTCACATTATGGATAGGTATGAACTGGCTTAAATTGAATGATGTTTTATTAACAATTACTGATCGAAATGTCTCTCATATAAATAATACTATTCCTATATACTTAATATTTACTGTTACTGTTTACCAGTAGCAATTAATGTTGATAGATGTTGTATCTTTTATTTCAATCATAATATGTTTAAATTTAGAAGTGCTTCGTAATTGATTGCTGTTTTGTTGTACTAACTTCGGAACTCTTCATTTTTAAACAACTTTGAAAAATTATTTTAATTTATTTTTAAGCATATAATTTCAGTTACATCCAATTGAAACTTCAGCAAAATTATTTTCATTCCATTTTATTTTTAATTATTAATAATTTTTATTAATCAATGGTCGAGTGACTTTATTTTTTAAGCTTTCACTGCTAAGTGTGGAGTTTCGAAGATCTTTTTTTTTCGACTTTGAAGATGTTAAAGGCCCACTCACCGACGACTCCCCGACACCCGAGACAGAACCCTGTCAAGGTAGAGGGCTCCTATGGTCAACACGACTACCAGACTCGCAGCTTATCTAAAGGGGGTATCCTTTAGATAAGCTGCGAGACCGGCAAAGTCGTCGAGGCGATATTCGACGACTCTACGTCGACGGTATTTGCTCGTGAAGAGCAGGGCGCTGCCGCAGCCAAGCGGGGCAGTACGTCAGCGTGTGCGCGGCCTTGATATCATTCCAGCCACAGTGGTGGCATTCATCGTTGGTTCCCTCTGGTCGACGCGGTGCAGATACCAACCAAAACACCCATTACCGATTATCACCTGCGTCAACCGAGACGCCCTCGTTTGAGGTTAACGTAGTGCGCCTGGATCGAGTGCACCGCTACGACAGTCCGAAGACCGACGGGATCATGGCAGGCGTCTTGGCGAGAACCCACCCCGGTTCGAACGAGAAGGCGCGGTATCATCGCATTGCCCTGACCGTGAAACACGCGCTGCGGACTTGAAGCACCCCGACGTTACCGGGGTCAGGGCGCGGTAGCATACGGGAGCCCTGTACAGTGCCTTCCAGCGCCCCACCCCCTCGTAGAGGCGGCACGTCGTCCTGTCGGATCCCCGACGTTCGGCAAAAGTTGGGTCAACGAGCCGACTGTCGCCATCAATCGGGGGCCCAAATTGTCTAAATGAGCGCCGAAGCTCCAATGACCGTCCAATTCAAGGTCGATCACCAGGTGGGCCCCGGGCTCAGCGCTCTCCCGGTCCCGTGAAACAACAACCCCTTTCGAACCCTGCTATTTTGCTTGCCATGTTTTTCTAATTACAATTTCTACTATATTCAATTTTTCAATTTTGTTTTTATTAAACAAAATCATCGACTGGGTAAATTAACTACACGTATCTCTCGATTTACACTGAAAATAGGTTTCGGACTGCATAAAATAAAATCTCCGATTTTTCTATGCAGAACCTTGTAAAACGAAATAAATCCCAATATGTACTCAATTCAGTCATTTATTTAAGTAAAACAAAAGTGAATCTTCAAAAATCTACCCATTGAATTAATTATTAATTAGGAACAAAAATAAACCAACTCAATTTTCAAGAAACTATGCTATTCGCTGTTACTTTCAGGGACCATTAGGCTTTTTTCCATTTCAAATATATTCTCTAATCCTTGTAAAAATTTTCTAATCCTGATTGGTATGATATCACTTTCATCACTTGAGCATTCCTGGTACGATCCTGGTTCAACAGTCTACGAATTCGGTTAGATCTCAGATTGAGGGGACTTGGTAATAAAATCTGTAATTAACGGTTGCGTAGGGTTTTTCGATAAATCTTTATAAACCTCCTTATATTCAAATCAAATCAAATCAAAAAAGTATTGATTTAAGTATTTGTTGATATCTCGCTGGAAATGAAGAGCTCGTTTAAAACTCGTGTCACGTTGTAGAAAATAGTTTTCTTCCCAAATTTATTCCCATGCTTCGCTGTGAACGTAACTGGTTCAGATTGTTCTTCATCAGAATCATTGCCTTTACCTGGATTGTCGGGAATAATTTATCATATTAACTAAATCATCTTCATTTAGTTCGTCATCAACCAATATTGTTCAATCTGAGTGTATAACAATCCAACATGTTTAACGCAATCTAAGATTGTAAAATTTTTCCAAGCATTTATAAGAGTCAGCAAGCAGCCTTAGGCCCGAAATAAGAAAATTGTCTAAGGACTGTAATACGGTAGTTTAATTCTTTCGTAAAAAAGCAACTTTTGTATTTTCATGTTATAAATATGGAAGACCTGGTGCATTGTCGATTAATGTAGCCGTGTTAAAAGGCAATCCTTTTCTACTTAAATATGTTTTAACATCTGGGACAAAGAAGTTATGAAACCATTCATTGAACCCCATAACAGTGATCCATGCTTTCTTATTAGCCGTCCAATAAAGAGGAAGATTTTTGATGTCCACTACTTTAAATACTAATATTTTTTTTAGATTTGGTGATAATCAATACTATCATATAAATTTTTTACTGACGAGAATATCTCGTTAGCCAGTGGTATTCATAGTGCTTTTTAATTTATTTTTTACTAAACTATTTCCATTTCTTTATATTCTCGATATGACAGTTCTAATTTGATAGTTGTAGTGTTGTGACCAAATAAGTAATGATATCGATCGCATATATTTATTATGTTTTGAACAAAGACAAATACAACAAAAACATTCAAATATATTTTTTGAAGCTAGGAACACTCAATGGCCCGCCGCCATTTTGTGTTTATTTTAATCTCTCACTCGCAACAAGTCGGTCGTGCTAGATATAGTCACTATTGATTGCTGAGTTTTTTCACATTATCCATACGTTACGTTATGTATTTTGTGTTCCTCCGTGTTGATTGCAGCCCAACTGTCAAATACCAAAATGCCTAAAGGATCTGTTCTGAAAAGACAGGCGAGAGAACTGGTGATCAAGGTTCATAATTACTTTAAAGTAGAGAAGAACCGTCGATAATTATTATGGACAATGCTTACATATCACTCCAGACAAATTGATAAAATGCCGACGCAGGCCAATAAAAACAAGAGATAATTGACTGGCTC